GCATTTTTGCGAAGTTTTGTTGTGACTCTATTTATGGTATTTAATTTTTTTTTAATATTTAATCATGCTTTTAGTTTACTTTAATGATTTTTAAGGTTACTCAAATGTTTGGGAGGAGCAACTCCACAGAAAACAATTAAAAATGTTTTGAATGCTATCATGGAATACCGGCATTATTTAGAGAGGATGAAAGAAAAGGAAAAAGGAAATTTTCATGCACTCCTTATTATAAATACATAAAATGGTGAGCATTCAAATTTGTAGCTGTTGCATCTTATATAAAACTGAAATAGTTTTGTCAACAGTAAATAGCAGAACGTGAAACAGTAGTACATTGCTCATTTTCTCCTATTCATTATTTGAAAATATATCTTTTTTATTTTAATTTAGTTTTCTTATGTATGACTTTCTTAAAACTAGTAAAAAGTATTTTAAAATAAATTTTTTTAGATGTCTTTTAGTTTGTTGACTTTTTGGAAATCAAATTCAAAAGCTAAGTTTATTTACTTTGCTTTTGAATTTAATTGTTTTTTATTTTTTTTTGATTTTCTAAAACATGCTTTATGATTAACAGACAATTTTAAGATAAATGTTATTTCTTTCGATTCTATTGGTGGCAAAATTGGTTATGATGCAAGCAACATCGATGGTGCCATAGGCAGCACATTAAAACGAGCAAAAAAATAATGTTTTTGCTAAGTTGTATTTATATATTAATATTTTCAAAAATATTAGTCTTTTAATTTTTTTGTAATGATTTGTGTCAATACTGGGATTTAATCATTTATGAAGTAACCTTATTATTACTATCCTAATGAGAATTGCCACTCGTGTTGAATCCCAAAAGCACGTGTTTATTTAGGTTTTGTGGGAAAAAAAAGACTTCATTTTTTTGGATACATCAATGTATCTTGTTGATACATGAATGTATCCATGTATTTTTATTTCTTTATTTTTTATTCTTTGTTTATAATTTCAGTACAACTTTCTTTAAATTTCCAGAAAAATTAGAAGCTGATTTTTAGATTTGCAAGTCCAAATCCTTGATAGGCTTAAAAGCATCAAATAAAGTAGAGGTTTTTTTTTGAATGATGATAATTTAGAAAAAAAACCAATAAGTTCATTTGAAAGATTCAATATTATTGAAAATAGTTTTAAAAACAAGAAAATTAAGGTAACTTCTAATGTTCACTCATTCAGACAATGAAAATCTATATTCCAATTTTTATTAAGGCTAAAGAGTGATTCCTGGGTGTGTAAAAATTTAGTGAAAGTAATAATGAATATATATATATATATGTATATATATATATATATATATATATATATATATATATATATATACACACTGTTAAAAAAGTATATATATATATATATATATATATATATATATATATATATATATATATATATATATATATATATATATATATATCTTTGAAAGTTTTCTCAGTAAGCCCAACGTAATAATATCCTTCTTCTTCTTGGTGAGTTTTTGCGTTGCAAATATAAATAAGATTTTTTGTTAGGCATTTTTTGTAAAGCATTTTCTATTGAGTGGGCATAAGGTGGTTTGCCGACAATTGCATAATTGATTGGCATTTTCATGAGAATGAAATAATATCTTTTTATTATGAGAAGTAACAATACTCTTGATGTTTGAAAGGCAGCTATAACTAACCTTTAAGTTGTTTCGATTAAAAAGTTTGTGAAATTTGTGGCCTTTAGGGAAACATTTATCAATTATACTCAAAAATGTTTTGGTTACGTTTGTTCTGACGTTGAGTGAATAAGGTGGGTTAAACCAGATAATGTTTCTTTTTCAAAATTTCACCAGGAGATTATCCTTTATATATTAACATAAATTCCAATCATCCACCAAGCATTATTAAATTGATACCAAAAATGATCTCTAACCGCATCAGTAATATATCTTCAAGCAAAGAAGCTTTTGATAGAGCCGCACCATTTTATAATAACGCTCTCAATTCTTGAGGATTCAAAGATAAGATCAATTTCACTCCAAATATCCAGAAATATAATAAAAAATCTCGAAAAAGAAACATTATCTGGTTTAACCCACCTTATTCACTCAACGTCAGAACAAACGTAGCCAAAACATTTTTGAGTACAACTGATAAATGTTTCCCTAAAGGCCACAAATTTCACAAACTTTTTAATTGAAACAACTTAAAGGTTAGTTATAGCTGCCTTCCAAATATCAAGAGTGTTATTACTTCTCATAATAAAAAGATATTATTTCATTCTCATGAAAATGCCAATCAATTATGCAATTGTCGACAAACCACCTTATGCCCACTCAATGGAAAATGCCTTACAAAAAATCTTATTTATATTTGCAACGCAAAAACTCACCAAGAAGAAGAAGGATATTATTACGTTGGGCTTACTGAGAAAACTTTCAAAGACAGGTGGTATAAACATAAAAACTCCTTTGTTTATGAAAGTAAGGCCAACTCCACTGAACTTTCGAAATTTGTGTGGGAATGCATAAATAAAGGTATAGAACCTATATTAAAATGGAATATCCTCGATCAAGCGGAGCCATTCAAACCTGGTGGTAAATTTTGCAATTTATGCTTGACAGAAAAATACCACATTATTACGTCGCCATTGAATTTGCTTCACAAACGAACCGAGCTTGCGTTAAAATGCCGCCATGAAAATAAATTTCTAATAAAAAACTTTAATGTCATCAAAGCGGACACTCCATAGCATTTTTTGTATATAATTTTTGTCGTTACTTTTTATTGTTGTTACATCTGATGATCGCTATTGCGTGAAACTTTTAGTTATGCAATTGAAATATATCTTAATAATTATTTAGTTTTCACTATATTAGTTTTCACTATATTATTTGCTCTACTAATTATATAAAACGCTGTATTGAGCACTCTTACTGGAAATATTAACATAATTCCTACATAATTCATGCTTCTTATATATATATATATATATTCATATATATATATATATATATATATATATATATATATATATATATATATATATATATATATATATATATATATATATATATATATATATATATATTAGTACTTTTAAAAACTTGTAAAAAAAGGTGATTAATTTGCTCACAATATGTTGTGACTCTATATGGTATTAAGAATTGATTCAATATTTAATCATGCTTCTTATTTATTTCAATACTTTTTAAGGTTACTCAAATGAGGAGCGACTCTGCGGTAAGCAGCAAAAAATGTTTTGAATGTTATCATGGAATACAGGCATTATTTAGCTTCTTATTATAAATGCATGAAAGGTGAACATTGAATGTAAGTCTGTAGCTATTGCATCTTATATAAGACTGAAATTTTTTTGTTAACAGAAAATAGCAGAATGTAAAACAGTAATATGTTGCTCATTTTCTCTTATTCATTATTTAAAAATATATTCGCGGTCGTTTTTTATTTTAATTTATTTTTTTTATCTATGACTTTCCAAAACCAATAACAAGTATTTTAGTATAAATTTTTATTATTATTATTAATTTATTTACATTTTGGAAATCAAACTCAAAAGCAAAGATTCTTTACTTTGCTTTTGAATTTAATTGTTTATTTTTGGTTTTCTAAAACATGCTCTATGATTGACAGACAATTTTGTGATAAATATTATTTCTTTAGATACTATTGTTGGTGACAAAATTAGTTATGATGCAAACAGCATTGAAGATGCCATTGCAACATATTAAAACGAGCCAAATAAAAAATGCTTTTGCTAAATTGAATTTATATTAATATATAAATATTGTCAAATATATTACTCTTTCTATTTTTTTGTAATGTTTCGTGTCATTACTGGGATTTAATTATTTATGAAGTAACCTTATTTAGGGTCTATTTAGGGTTTACAATCGTATTTAATTCCAAAAACACGAGTATATTAAATTTAGGCTTTGTGGGAGAAAAAAGACTTTATTTCTTACAATTTTAATTTTATTCAGCTTATTCTCATATCGACTCCATTTCTAGCAAATATAAAAAATGGAGTCTTGAGACTCCATTTTTTATTTTAAAAATAAATCAAAAGACCTCATTCTTTCTATTGAAAATATCTTAGAACATCTTTAATTTATCTTGTGATAAAAAAAAAAAATTTATTGTTATGTATGTTCAAGTTTTGTTTTAAATTTGTTTTCAATTTATTTTCATTTATCTAAATACGATTTATTGTTTTTATATGACTTTTTACGTTTATTGTAAAAAGGCGTTTTTGTAATATTTTACGTACTCTCTTTTGTAAAAGGCTTTTGACCATAAGATCATTGCGATCTTTTTCTAGAAGCCTTGTTTGTATTTGAAAAATATGTAATTTATATGTATTACGTCAAATGTAAACAAAACATTAACAAAAAAAAAATTAAACACCGAATGAACGGACAAAATATAAGACGTTTGTAAGACGTCCAAAAGGGTCTATGGTGGACCTCCGAACGGACTGTTTTGGACGTACTTTGTAGGTCCAAAATGGACGGACGAAAGTCGTTACATTTGGTACGTCCAGTGCATGTTCTTTTCGACATCCATCGTTACCATTATTATGAAAATGAATTGTAGAATTTTGTTTCATAAGCTGTGTTATTATCTATTCTTATTTATATATATTATAAATTACAACGTGATTATAATTATGGAGAACCATGGAACTAATTTAACGTCCAGTTTATAAACGGAGTTATAAAAGGAGCTTATAAACTCCTATAAAAAAATTGTAATTGCTTTATTTAATGTATATTGAAAGGTTCTGATAACAAGATCCTTTGATCTTCTTTCAGATACCTTATTTAATATTTGTGAAAGTTTATTATTATTATCATTATTTTTTTGGCAATATATAATTGTAAGCCGACCAACCAATGTAAAAAAATAATAATAAATAAATAAAATAAAAATAAAAAAACTCAGTGCTGACCAACATTTGGAAAAGTGCTTGCTTAGTTAAAGTTATTCAAGCCATTATTTAAATATTTTATTTTTTAAAGTATAACTTTTTAAAAAAAATCATTCATTAACTGTCAAATTAAATCAATTATGATTCTGTGCATGCGGTCATCGAGCTATTAACGCTTTCTTCGTTTGATCCGCTACTTAACCATTTCTTGTAACAAGCTTGGTACCTAATAAATTTAAATAGTATTAAGATCCTTAATTTATAATGAAATAAAATTTTAATAAAGAACAAGTAAAAAGTCATACTCTTGTCCAGATGTCATGTGTTTAACCGACAATGATATCAAGTACCAGCTATCAAGCAGAGCATCAGTAGAAATGTCTATTTTATATAACTTTCCTATCTCCTTTTCCCCGACGACTAATATATCTGCTAATGATCCACTATCATAGCTGTGACTAAAAAAATTTAAAAATCAATTGTATTGTATTAACGAATTAGAAACTTATTCTTAAATAACGCAACCCTTACGGGACAAATGGCTACTTATGATTTTAAGGATAGATTTACACTTTCTAAAATTTACGCGCATAAAAATTCTCACTTAATTTGTACACGACCTATATGTCTGAAATTATTATTTTACAGTTAGAAAATATTAAGTTACTGCAAACTTGATTTTCATAAATTGAATTATTCTTTTCATCTCGTTGTTTTTCATATAAAAGCAGTTAATTTTAAAAACTTAAGTCTGGAAGTATCTAGATTTGAATTGCTAAGTTTAAGTTATTTGTTGGCACATGTAACAAAAGAGTTGATACACGGACAATTACAATTTTCACCATCAAACTTTAAACAGAGTCGTTGCGGAAAAAAACGCGGAAAAAAACGTGGAAAAAAAGTTAGCTATTTGATGAAGATTTTTTAATGATTTTTATTGCTTGAAAAAAAAAAAGTTGGCTTAAGGTAGATATTAACAGTGCATTTAAACTATATTTTATCTCATCATACATTTAAGCATCTTCTTTAAAGTTCTTAATTATTTTTCATACCGATAAAGATTGATTAACAAAATCAATTTCCTAGATTTGTGATTATCAGCAAAATAAGTTTACTGATAAACTCAACACATCTGTTAGATGTTACTAAACCTAAATCAGGTTAACAATTTTGCCCAAGACGTGTTACATCAGTACTTAAATATCTATACTGATAAATAATCTAATAAATATACTGATATCATCAGATATCAACGTACATCAGTATTGACACAGTACTCGAATAGTCTTAACATCTAATTGATTCTAACAGATAAGTAGTTAAACAAATATTTAATATTTTTAAAATATTGTAAATTTTCAGCTGAATAAGTTTTAAACCAAAAGTTTTCCTCATCTAAATTTTAGCTATTAATTTATCTTAAAAACGCATCCTAGTAGCTACTAACTCAAAAATCTTATTTATTGAGACACGCTAGTGTGAATAGCGTTCCCACTGGCTGGGTTTAAACGTTGGAAAGTGCTGAAAAATTCTTATATAAATTAACTTCAGCGGATTAATTTAAATAAGATTTTTTCGGCACTCTCCTAAGAAAAAACCCAGTGGCAATGCTGGTTGTGACACGCAAGTTAAAAGAGCAAAAAAGGTTTTGTTCTAAACATTTTTAAATAACATTAAAAGCACGAGAATTTAATTTAAATAATAAATTTAAACATATCTTACCTAGGTAGAGTTACTAAACTTAAACATATCTTACCTAGGAGCAGTTACCACATTAAAACCTTTTTCTCCATAAAGTTTAACAGTAACTTTCCCACTATAAGCCGCAAGAAACTTTGTACCAGTCTTCATTTTGAGTCTGTAATGAATTCCTAAAACATAGCATTTTAATAAGGCATCATAAATATTCTGTAATAAGTCATTTAAAAAAATAAACTTTTACGTATTGACATATTTAACAACTCCATTAACAGTGAAAACAGTTGTCAACAATATATCACTGAATGCGTACAAGGGGTGGGGTGTTAAAGACAGTGAGTACGTACGCACGTTTGACTATATCTCCTAAACTTGATTTTATTTTTTATTTTTATTAAAATATTGAATTTCACGTGTGTAACAAATCAGTATTACATTTTTTTTTTCTGACTTCAGTCACATTTTTTTTAAATTTCTTTTAAAAATAAAGAGAAAAAAGATGAAATCGAGCGACAAATAATATGTTTTAGTATTCGCATTGTATTTGATTGGAAGCGAGATGAGAAGCAAAAAGACGTCAAATAAAAGCAAACTTTTTTCGAATTCTTTTTTTTTAAATTACTGTACTCAAACTGGTTTCTATCATTTCTTTTAAAATGTTAAAATATGTTGTAACATTTTAAGATTTAAATAAGTACATTAAGTAACATTTTAAGTCTGAATTAAGTACAGAGAAATGTCAAATAAACTAAATGTTTTATATTTTGTCTTCAATATTTTGAAATATTTACGCGTTGGGGAAAGGGAAGGAGGGGGGACTCTTTTTTGAAAAAAAATAATGCGAACGTAGGCGGAGTCTTCTATAGCGTACAGGTTCGCACAAGGGGGAGGGGGGATCCTAAATCAGCGGTTTTACTGCGTACGTACTTTATGGATGCCCCCTAAATACATTTTTAGTATTCGATTTTGTTACATAATTATATTTATGTATCAAAGATATCTATGTATTTTTGTCAGGTTAATACGTTTATTAACTTTCAGAAAGTTTTCCCACCTTCCCCAAATGCTTGTTAAGGCACCCTTTATTAATTTTTATAAATTAAATGTTTAATTTAAGCTAAATTTTTAATCAAATTTTTAAACGAAATTAAATTTATTAATTTTTGCTAGTAATCAAAAAAAAAATCAGTGTAAACCGGTTTTAAAAATTACAAAATATATTTTTATAAGAATACTGTCGACCTATTAAAAATCTCATAAACCTCTTTTTAAAAAATAAGCTTTTTTTTTATTTCCCACTTTGATATAAAACTTAGATAAACATCCTATTGAAATTATGATAAAACAGCTGTTGAAAATAGTGTTATTTATTTGAACGCAAGCCAGACTAGAATTAAATTGTTTTATGTGTGTTCTATCAAATAAATCCCACTCTTTTATTAAGGCCCTTATCTTCCTCCAGTTTATCAGATCTTGACTAAGAATTTATTAGGCACATAAGAGTGTTGGGTACTGTGTTCATGGTGGCCTTTTATAATTCTTTCTAAACTTTTTGTTATAACTTACTTTAATAGTATTTCTGTTAAAAATATTGTGCAATTTATTAGTAGGAGGGAAATAGAATAGAATAGAATCTCTGTTACGATAAACCAAAACTCATTCTTATATGGCCTTTTATTTAATATATCATTTTTCAATATCCTTTTACTGTAACTGTCCCTTCAGGCTATAAAACTTTTATTAATCCAGTTTTTTTCTTGCATATCAAAAAAACCTTAGATCTCTAACCCATCTTCATTTTTTCCCTTTTTATACAACCTACAAATTTTTAAGTCTTCAGTTAACTGTTTCCTAGTATTTTAACTTATTCTCAATTTTAAAGTAACTCATAATTTAATAGTGGTTGCTTGCAATCTTGTTGGAAGTAAATTAGAGTTTAAAAATATATAAAAATATGCCAGTATTTAATAAATAGTAAATGTAAGAATAAAATTGTAATATATAAAGCATTATAAATTTTTTTCTAGCCCCAGCTATCAAACCCTGCAAAATCTTTTAATTTTGCCAGGGCCGGGGCTGGGCTTGCAAAAAGTCTTATTTTTAGCTAGGACGGGGCTGGAGCCAAGGCCCCGATCACTTCCTACTGTCTAGGGCAATAAATGCTGGAACCTCTTGACTCTACTAATAGATTTATGAGTGTCTTCTTGATTGTGGCTATGCAACTTTCAACAAAATATTAGAGTATTAACAGTGCTGTGTTTCACATGGTCGGTGTCCTCTTAATGCTTTTGGTATTGTAAGGAGCCTGTGTTAAACCCTAACCTAATCCAGGTGTGGCATAATGATTAGAGTTCTGGCTACTTGAGGTACATAGTTCGAAACCAGCTCTGGCCATACATACATCATTGGTAAAGAAGGAGGCATGAACACCCTGGTCAAATAACTAATAAAAAACAAAGCCCTAAAAATTGAACTTTGGTCTCATTTTAATATAAAAAAACAACTCTCTTGAGAACACACACCTATTTAAAATTGCAAGAAATCAATGTAAAAAGGTGCTGTCTGATGCTAATCTCCATTATTCCCAGTTTACTAAATCTTGTACCTTATCTCAAAGGTTAAGCTCTAGAAAATTTTTTAAAACTTTCAACAGCGTCATTAACAAAGGCATAAACATTCCATCACTAAGTAATTAACATTCCATCACTAATTAGCATTTCATCACTAAGTAATTAACATTCCATCACTAAGTAATTAACATTAATCACCAAGAAATCAATCACTATACAATTTTTCATTACCCAGGCTTGGTCGGGAAGCGGGTGCGATCGCACTTGATAATTGACCATAAAAATAATATTTAGTTGCATAAAACCGGCCAGATTTTTTAGTCGTTTTGAGAACATTAAAAAAAAAAAAAAAATGCGCAATATGATTAACTGGACCAATGAGAGACAGTTAAAAGCTTTTAACCCGAAAAAACTTCAAGCAAAATAAATACGATTAGAGCAAATATTTTTGTAACGTTGCTCTTTTATAATTTTTTTTATAAAATTAAGCTACATTTTTTATATAAAGTAACAACTTACTATTAATGATTGTTTAATAAGGAAACAAATGTTCTTCGATTTAACAAATAGTATATATAATTTTTATTTATATACTAATGTCTTATTTCCGATGCTGGATTAAGAAGGTGGGGAGGGAGGTAGAAGGGTTATAGCCCCAAGACTCACAATGTTAGGGGCCGCGAAATAGTCAAGAGGACTATTCAGTATTTATTTTAATCATTTTTACGCAGTGGCACCACCAAAATAATGCAGCCTCCGGCCCTGAAAAGTCCAACAAGATAAAACCAATAAAACTAATGCTAGATGATTTATTTATAAATAAAAGTTACTGTAGAAATTCAATTAGCTAGATAGAAACTAACTAAAAACGTTAAATTACTTTGTAAGGAGGAAGCGGAACTGCTTCACAATAAGTTTAGTGAGTGGCCTTTATAATTTTAATTTGTATTTAAAACAGAAAAAAGTAACTTTAAGTTTAAGTACAAAGATTTTGCAAGAATAGCTGAAGCAAAAATAATTGAAGTTAGTAAACCAATTTCTAAGAACTTAAAAACTTTTCTTTCTTGGGGGAAAGAATCAGTTATCGGGTACACTGAAGAAAATGGATTAGTGGTTAAAATTATTTGTATTAACTTTGATGACTATTAATAATTTCATTAAAAACACAGTTATTACTGAAAGTATTTTTGTTTACAAAACCAATCGCACAAATTGCTTTAAAAGATTACATTTAAATAAAATACACACACATAAAATTACATAGATAAAAATACATACATAAAAATACATTACATACATAAAAAATACATCCCTTATATATAAAAAATAAGAATATAATAATAAAATCTATAATAAAATATTTACAAAACGTTGACAAGTTAAGAAATAAAAATTTAAAACATTTATTTTTGTAAACAAATAATGTTAGTTTAAAACATTTATAGATTTGTAGATGTGGCTCTGAGAGTATTAAAATAATAGTTTGTTTGATAGTATATTCTTAAAACAATTAATGCTAGAAATCTCAATGAAAACTTAACAAAACTCAAATAATACAATTTTTTAAAATATTTTAACAGAATACTCTAGAACATTCTGTTAGTATTTTTTGAATACTCTAGAAATTGCGGCTAGTATTTTTTAAACCAATAGAATTAGTTGTTTGTAGATTTGGCAAGTTTTTTATGTTCCCAAATATTCTTTTTTTATTTTTTTGCATAAAGATGTTTAAGAACATTTGAGTTTATGTATGTTTCCATGTAAGTCCGTAAAACAAAATATTTTTAAACTTCCGATAAAATAATGAACTTAATTATTATTTTGCAGACAAACAAGGAAACATACATAAACTTAAATGTTCTCAAAACGACTAAAAAATCTGGCCGGTTTTTCGCAACTAAATATTATTTCCGAATGCGATCCCACCGGCTTCCCGACCAAGCCTGATTACCATAATCCTTAAGTTGGTTTATTAGGTAAAATACGATTAGTTTCTTAATTTTTTTTTTCTGTTGGTTCAGTTGCACATCAGAACATTAAAAATAAAAAAAGTACTTTTCATCTTCATAAAGCATATAGAAAAAAAGGTTTATTTCAGGTGGTCATGTAGGAATAACATGGCAAAGCAATTAAGAAATCAGTTTCCAAATGTTGTGCTTTTAATTGAAGAAGACTTTTCCAGTGCAACTTCTGAAAAAATCATTAAAAAATATTAAGCACTAGTCTTAAAAGAATAGATGTATTCCCCATCAAATCTCATAGTATTGATAAGCATCGATGGTTATTAAATCACAAGTATTAAAAACTCCACAAATTATAAGTATTGACAAAAATAATTGCCAATAACAGCAGAAACAAAAGAAAGGTTAGCTGTTAACATTTACATGCCTTGATCAAGAAATATGCCCAAGCCTTGATCAAGAAATATGCTGCTAGATCTTTGAAAACCCCTTTATAAAACAAAATATTCAAAAAGCACCTAACTAATGGAAACAAAGGGATATTTGTAGTTCCACACACTTAAAAGGGAAAAATAATTTCTGAAATAACATGAAATACCCAACAATATATGGAATGAAAATAAACTAACTAGACAATGTTTGGTTCAAAAGATAATGAACGTATAGGTAGAAACCAACATGAAGAAAGAGCCTGATTTTATGCAACCTTAAAGAAGTGTGTGTTTCTTCTTAAACTAAATATCCTTAAGATGTAATTGGGTTTTCTAAATTTTAACAGAGTTTTTTTATGTTAAGACCAAAATGGTGTTTAACTGTTGGAACATCTTAGCTTCATTCTGTTTGTGTATGTACACATCAAAGACGTGGCTAGGCTTTAGAGAAACCATTTGCAAATTAAGGAAGTCTTTTATGCAAATTTAAGGTGGTTTTTTTTAGTGGAAGTGTACCTACAAAGATCTAATAACAAAAGTTGTTTGTGATTAAAAGATGTAATAACTGTCCAAGTATAGTTTTTTTAAATAGATTCCCTGATACACATTTAACTGACAACTACAATGATGAGATGGTATCATTCAATCAGTGGCACACAACAGGCTGCACAGCATTGATTAGTCAGACAACAACAATTAAAGTGTAAAGAGAAATGTCATTCAAGGCAATAAACAAGTTAATAGATGATTCCAGCATTGTGATATGTCATCCAAATTACCTAAGACAAAAACAACAAAATTTGGCTTAAGACTTCTCAAGTGATTTTGCAAAATACTACATGTTTGTGATTCACAATGAAATCTAAAGTAACCATTGGAGTAAAAGTAAATGTACATTGCACCCGATTGCCCTCTGTTTATGAAACAACAATGACTAGCTTAAAGAGAAATCATTATACTTCATGTCAGAAGACAATGATCATGACACTTTTTTTTATATACATTTAAGAAACAAATATTTAACTAATTTAAAAAAACTGAATCTGAAAAATCTGAAAATTCCAAATATTCTTTATTTTTCAGTACTTTTCACAGTATAAAAACATTAACAAAATCTGTCTCCATAAAGATTACTTTTGTATTGATGCAGAATGAATATTTTTTCATACAATTCATGGTAAGTGTGATGACTTAGCCAGAAGGGTCTGACTTGCTAAAAGTAAAACAGTCATTTTATGAACCTCTTGGAGTTTTTCCATGAAAACTTCAACTTTCAGAAACTTGATTTGCTGATTTTATAAAGGTCTTTGCACAAAACTAGCAAAATCTAGGTACCTTGGTATTTAGGTATCAATCTTAAAATAATCTGTCTATTATAAAAAATTCTCTTTTATAAACTCTAATAAACATATTTAGCTTGAATTTTTAAATTTTTTACTGTTTAAACTTTATTTTCTTTAGATTAATTATTTAGGAAAATTTCAATTCAATATTTGGAAAAACTACTATATAAGCGTATAAGCAAGTTGTAGTAAATAGTAAAAAAATAAAATAATAGTCCTTAATGTAAAAACTAAACTTAATATATATGTGATGAATATGTAGAAAATATACATATAAAATTTTCTTAACATTATAGTTATTTCATGATAGACATTTAGGTTTATTTGTTAATTTATTTAAAAAATGGTGGTGGCAATTAAAACAATGGCAATTTAATATAAATGTTAGCACAAAAACAATCGCCAATTATCTTGAAGGCTGATTGGTTTTATTTTTAAAAATGTACAAGGAGCTTACTACAACAAACAGTAATGAAAACAAACAAAAAAAAACTGAATAATTAGAAACATCAAATAACAAAGAATCAGAAATAATCAACATGTCACAAATGATCTTAATATGGTGGTGATTTTTTATGATATAATTTACATTTATTTTAAATCTCAACCTTGAGATTTAAAATAAATGTAAATGTAAATAAAACATAAGTAAATAAATTACTTATGTTTTATTTGTTATTCATCTGAATTCCCAATTGAACTTAAAAAATGACAGCTCGAATTGACACTTGATGGGATTTTTCCACATTTTTACTGCCGCATTGCCAAATGTTTTTGAAAAGTTTAACTTGGCTAACCTTCGATTACCAAGCCAATCCAGCCTTAAATTAACAAGTAAGGGAAGCATCCATGAAGTATGTATTCAGTAAAGCCACTAATTTAAGATCCCCTCCCCTTCCCCTTTATATGCAAGTGTATGCTTAAAATGACCCTCTCCCTCCTCTCTATTACAAAATCAACCTCATTCCCAACAATAAATTTTTCAAAATATTTTAAACAAAAAAAATTTAGTTAAAAATAAAAAACTTTCTTCTGAGACAACTTTTGTGTCCTCAACCAAATCTTACGTTTTTTAATTACAACTTTTGCGTTCTCAATTACATCTTGTAATTCAGGTTCAGAATGTGTACCATGCAAGGTATTTGCCTGAATGTTCGTCCAGAGTTTGTTTTTTTAAAAGCTACTCACCTCTTTTTAATGTTATTCACCTTTTTTTTATGTTATTTGTCTAGGCCAAGGTTACCACTGCAGTCTTTAGTAACTTTATTTAATAAGATCATCAATTAATTTTTTGCTTAAATAACGTACTACATTTTTTTCTGGCCATTACTTGTTCCTAAAATGTTAGAATTCTTTATGAAAACTTATTGCTACAACATAATGATATTTTAAAAATAAAATTTTATTTTTATTTTCAAAATAACATTTAAAAAAAAAAAAATTTCTATTTAATCATATTGCTCTTCTAAAAATTTAGATTTTTTCTATTTAATCATGTTGCTCTCCTAAAAAGTTGCTACAGCTTTTTGAAGTCAGAGAATATTTACTTTTTTTTATTAAACTTTAAAATTCATATAATAATTAGAAAAATAATATGTATACTTAATCAAAGTAAATCATTTAAATTTTTTTCTTATTGAAATAATTTTATGAATATAACTATACATTTATTGGGCACAAATATTTAAATTTTAAAAATTTAAAACACTGAGGTTACTATAAAAAAAGTTGAAGTCAATTAAAAATATTTAAATCTTAATATCTAAATACTTTTGATTAAAGTTGAGACAAAATTAAGAATACCACAATATGGAAATACATCTCTTGTTTCTAAGTAATATCTGATAGACTGTTGTGTTTTTGGCTTTTTTGCATGATAACCCATCACTGGACATCCTTCAGATGGACATAAACATTTTCCAGCTTTAAAATCTTCATAGGATTTACATGGGTAAGCTTCATAAAAACAACTTTGAGATGAGATAGATTCCATAAAATAGCGAATTGAACGATAATGGCTGCATACCAAATATTGTTTCAAACCTAAAACACATTTAAGATACATATAACATATTTGTTACAAAAAAAATTTCATTATATACTTGTTTATATAAACATAAACAAGAATATATTGATGCCTTCCTGGTGTTGACCTAATTTTAATCAAAATTATATATACATAATATACATAATATAAATTGTATATACATAATATACATAATATAAATTGTATATACATAATATACATAATATAAAATTGTATATACATAATATACATAATATAAAATTGTATATACATAATATACATAATATAAAATTGTATATACATAATATACATAATATAAATTGTATATACATATATATGTATTAAGATTTAATGCACCTTCAAAAAATTTATAAATCAGTTCCTACACACTCAAAAAAATAAATTCATTTTCAAATAGCAATTAAAATTTTAATAGAAATTTTTTTTAATGATTTGCAAAGATAATTAATACATTTTAGATTACATAATAAAATGTTGAAAAAAAAAGAAAATATCATTTTAATGAGATTATTTGTTTTTAAGCTTAGATTTAAAGACTTTCTACTAACTTTGAGAACTTTTATGTTTTTTAAATTATCATTAAGTTCTTTCAATTAATTATAAAAACGCTGGGAAAACTGCAGTCCCGCACAAAGCCAGTAGTGCAAACTCCAAAAAAATATATTTGTTGGTTCACAAAAACCAGTGAAAATTGGCTGAACCCCAACACAGATATACATGCAATTTATATGCTTTAGAAATTTTATAATTTTATAATGACATTTTATAATGCTATATATATTCTAAATATTACATGTTGCAGTTGCACTAATGTGTTTTGAAAATTTTTCACATACTTATATCAAATTTTTCACATCCTTTTTGGAAGTATCCTCCATTAGGATAGAAGTCAAGATGACCCATTTGTTGCTCTGCTCCAAAACCCAATACAATTATGGTGTTTGTGTCACTATGAATGACATCAACAAACTCTGCATCAGTTGGGTCGATTCTAGTATCTGGGTGCTGGTACTCAAACAATGGACCTGCTGGATCAAGTACTATTAAAAAAAAAAAAGTATTTTTAAAAACTATTATAACAATTTTTTTTTTTTGTTTTTTAAAAAACAAAACTGCAAATTTGAAAAAACAAATAAGAAATAAAAAAAAAATCAATTTAACTAAAATATTTACAACAACTATATTGATCAAGAATAGTTTTGTCAACAATAATTATATTGGTCAGCACATATTTTAGTGTTCAAAATATAAAACCTGTTTCTAGGTAGTTTTAGGACGCTCAATCAGAAAATCATATTCCTTTTTTCTTTATGAGCTCATGTTTTTTTGCTATTCAATATTCCTTAAATTTGTAAAAAATAGTTTACAACTTTTATATATAGTTATTCTTAGAAAAACATTTAACTTAAATTCATTGGAGTAGCCTACTAACAAAGTTAGCAGACAATACTTGCCATAAAACTTGGTCAGTTTCAATCTCAGTTAATTTCTATGAAAATTAAGAAACCAGATTTTATTTTTAATTTTTTAATAAAATTATCACAGTAAAAAAGAGTCAACTGATGCTTTTTTAACAATTCGAATTTAATCAAAAAGAGTTAAATGACCGAGCCAAAAAGATCTGTCATAAAGGAAACTGTATAATTATTAGCTTCAAAATTTAAGGAAAGACTGAAACACAAGAAAAATCCCTTTTTTTAAACAAGGTTAATTTTGTACTTTGTTAAAAGACTTCTTTAAAATATGAACATTAAAAAAATCAATCTAAAATAACAGTGCCTATTTTTCAACAATTGCAAACAACGTTAAAAATGCAATCTTTAACACCAAAGCTAATGATGACTATACCTAATGCCAATATTGAGCCAAACAGTTTGGTGTATTACCATAGATTTCATACAGGTTGGTGATATTCTATAATAACGCCAGCATCATATGAAGAGCAGACAAAACTTGTGAAGCAGAAAATAAAATATTGTGGATGATTTGTATTTGTATAGACTTCAACAAGTTGAATGTTTTTAATAGACAACAATCTAGATACCCAAAAATATATGTCAGTATATACGATAGCCAAGCAAAGCATCAACATTAGGTAAAGTAAAATTAGTAGATAAGGCAAATTATCAATTAAATTGTCTCATAACATTGTTGTAGGCTGTAACAGATTTTTTTGGTAACCAAAATTCCAACATTTGTAATGACACTTACCAACAAACAATCAATTTTTATAGATTTTAAAACTAACATAAGCATCACGCTTCACTTTCTATATAGTCATTAATAATACTTTCCCAAAATATGGACAAACAAGGTGAATATTTTTATCAAGAGATTAAAATCATTGGAGAAAACTTTTTTATTTTATAAAATTTATTATAAAATAGCATTAATATTGCACTTTTTTAAAAAAATTGTGTTTTAAATAGTATGGGTAAATTGATAGAGAATGATACATCGTCTACAAAAAAATGAATGGAATATGCTTCCACCCTATAATACCTGGCCACTATCCTTACAGATAATATTCTGAAACATAACTACAACCGACACTGAAGCATTCAAATTGACACTTTTTGTCATTGTTAACGGATACTCTCCATACTTAATATTCAAATTCCTTATTCTCGGCTTTACAAAAAACCGCGCAAAATTAATATATAAATAACTTTTAAAATTAAAACTAAAATTAAATCACTTTTTTTAAAAAATTGTTTTTTATATAGTATGGGTAAATTGTTTAATACTTATAATTAATTATATAATTAACTACAATCACTTTATTAACTATTTTATAAACTAATAATGAACTTTATATTTAAAAGTTTTCATCAAATAGTATTTTAAGCTTCTAGATCAAGATTTTAATTCATAAACTACAACCAATCATGTTACACTTTATTAACATTTGTAAAAAAAAAAAGTATAAACAACCGTCTCAAAATAATAACAATAATAAAAAAAAGTTCATCTATGTGTGATCTTTATTTTTTTAGTATTGTTTATTGGTTAATTCAAATGCAAAACTTTTGAGATAAATTAACAATGATTTACAGGGGTGCGCAGGTTATCGCAGAAAAAAATGAAAACAAAAATTTTGCGGCAAAAATATGACATACAGTGAAAAACATTTTTGGTGGGAAAATGCAACACAGTTCAACAAGTTAATCCTTAAAAAATGCCGTTTTTCACTAATTTAGTTGTAAAAAATGGCACGATTTGACAGCACACAAAATGAAAATGCAAGAAAACTTGTTTTTGATCTATGGAAACATTGTGTGAAAAAAGTTGAAATTTGCAAAGCCGTGAAGGGACAGCTTCATAATTCCAACGCCTACAGACTCTTAAAAGACTTAGAAACTGGAAAAAATTACAAAAGAAAAAAAACAGGCCCAAATCGTTATGTGAGAACTAAAGAACTTCGAAATTCGATCGACTGCAAAGTACGACGAAACCCAAACAGATCAATTTCATTCTTAGCTAGAGAAGCAGGTGTGTCTCGAAGGACTATGCAACGTGTTGTCCACGATGATCTGGGTATGAAGAGCCTTGTCAAGTCAAAAAGACAACTTCTGAGTGAGGCAACTAGAGCCAAAAGACGCAAAAGATCAAAAGAGTTACTAAATTGGTTCAAAGACCACAAATATGTCCCTATCGTTTACAGTGATGAAAAAATTTTCACAGTTGAACCAGAACCCAACAGATACAATGACAGAGTTCTTGGTAAGTCCAGAAGAACAGTTCCTTTGGAACTGAGGACTATTCCAAAGAGACAGCACCCTGTGGGCATCATGGTTTAGGCAGGTGTGTGCTCTGATGGGTCAAAAACTCCCCTTGTTTTTGTTCCTGAAGGTGTAAAAGTCAACCAGGTGACCTATGTCGACTTCATCAAAGCTAACCTCATTCCTTGGGCCAAAAAGAAGTTTGGGGACGATCCATGGGCCTTTATGCAGGATAGTGCACCAGCACACAGTGCAAAGAAAACTGTCAGCTTCTTGAAAGAAAATGTTCCGCAACTTTGGACCCCAGACATGTGGCCCCCTTCAAGCCCAGACATTAATCCTATGGATTTTGCTATATGGAGTGTCATGGAGACCAAGAAGGCAGCCAAAACATATCCAAATTTGGCAGCCCTCCGAAACGAATTGAAGAAGATCTGGAAGAATCTTAGTCCGGACATGGTGCGACGATGCTGTGAGTCAGTTCCAGAGCGTTTGAAGAGTGTCATTGATGCCAAAGGAGGCTACTTTGAAATTCATTAGTGTTTTTGAGTAAAAATATATGTGATTTGGTATTGTGAAAAGTTTTACTTTGAAAATAAAAGCCATTTTTGAGATATAAATATTTTTTTCTTTCATAACCTGCGCACCCTTGTATAATAGATGGTTTTACTAATATTTTTACAATTTAAAAGTAAAAAAATATTTTATCTTAGCTTTACAGAGGTAAATATATTTAAAATAAAAAGTCTAAAAAATTCCAGTTGCAATATAATAATTTATAATAGCAATTTTTTATATTCAAAATTATGTTTATAATTTTTCAGTATTAACAATTATACTGTTACAATTAAACCTAGCATATATTAAACATTATTCAATTTATATAAACATAACGAGTCTCAAAAATCAAAACTTGCCAACATTTATTGCCAACAATAATTATAAACAAAACAACCTGTAATCCGAGGAACAAGTAATCCTTTTAATCTTAAAAAACGACCAGCATAACCAACTAAATGTGATCCAATAGAAAACCCAATTAAATGTAATTTTTTCCAATTAATACCAGTGTCATTTTTGATAACTTCAATCATATAGCTAAGTTGGGCACCTAAAAAAAAACAAATATTTACTTGTCATTATTAAATATATATAAAATTATATTACATATATTATATAAATCGCAACTTTTAAATCCCAACACTTTATATATATATATATATATATATATATATATATATATATATATATATATATATATATATATATATATATATATATATATATATATATATATATATATATATATATATATATATATAGGTCCTATAACATTTTAAAGTTACGTTACCTCTCAATTGGTTACAATAGGTAAAAGGTTACATTCTCTAATTTTTAATCAAATATAAAGTACATAAACTTGATAGTAAACTTGCAGTTTACTATTCTAAAACCATAAGTTACTTTAAACTTTAAAGGTACTTTGTTGTTTTTTTACATTTTTTAGTGTTACTTTGAAAGCTTTCAAAGTTGTATTTGCCTTTTAAAAGTCTTTTTCATAAAGTAACTCACAAGTGTGGCTTATTCCATTTACAATATTGTAAATGAATATTGTTAATAAAACAAATTTGTTAAATACACTAACTTGAGTTATGGTTAGGGTATTTAATAACGCTTTTGTCAAAACATTTGTAACTAAAAAATAATTTAAAAAAAACTGTAATTATCATTGTTTATTTTTATTGTAAAATGAATTTGTCTTTACTAGTTACTTATTTTTGTGAATATAAAAATAAAGTTTCAATTCACAAAGTTATGTCTCAATTATATTTTTTTAACTTATAAAAGTAAAACTTTTAAAAAGTGAAACTTTCAAAAAAGAGTATTTTTTAACATAATGTTAAAAAAAATCTATATTTGTGACATATTTTAACTACGTCTTCGATCTAGATTTTGTTGCGTAACATAATTTTTTTTTTTTTTTGCCAATAATTCAAGCATATTACTTTAAGGGTTTTTATAAACCCATAAGCAAAACAGTATATAAAATATCAACCTTTCATATGTTTTTATAAGATTAATCAAATACATTAATTAGCTGTAAATGATTATATGTATAATATGAACATTCTTCTAAAAAATTTGTACATTCTACCAGTGCCAGCTCGAACACGCGCAAGGCCTGACAAGAATTTAGTCTGCAAGGCCTTAAATAAAAACCTAAAAAAAGGATGAGTTAAAGAGTAATAATGTACGAGGGTAAACTCGTGTTTTTATATAAAATTGTTTTTTAAATATAAATTATATATAAACATTTATAAATAAAATATAATATACAATATATAAATACTCAATAGTGTCACTAGTTAATATATTGAACAAAAATACAAGTTGTAATATGTCTTTCACAAAAATCATATATTATGGACATAATTATTTTTATTTTTATTATTAAATCTTATATAGAAAACTTAAAAAAAAAAGCTAGAGATACCTCTTTATCTGGCTTTCTACAGAGCAATGTGAGGCCCCTTTATATAGTGTGTATGTATATATATATATATATATATATATATATATATATATATATATATATATATATATATATATATATATATATATATATATATATATATATATATATATACATATATATATATATTTATATATATATATATATATATATATATATATATATATATATATATATATATATATATATCTATATATATAGTATATATAGAGTATATATAGAGAGTATATACATATATACATATATATATATATATAAATTTATATATATATATATATATATATATATATATATATATATATATATATATATATATATATATATATTATATATATATATATATATATATATATATATATATATATATATATATATATATATATATATATATAGGCATGGCCAGGAAGGTGTGCGATTTCACGTCATAATATGACCACAAAAATTCACAAATGCTACATGCTTACCTCTTATTATATCAAAAACAAGCAAATGTTTTGTTTTATTCTTTTTAAAGGTTGTACTTTACTTTTTTGTATTTTCTTAAAGAATGATTAGGAATTTTATATTTTTTGGCAGGTAATATTATAAATAATACACATATTTAATATGGAGAAGTTTGACATTGTTAAAAGGTTAGAAATTCTGCAGAAAATGTTACAAAAAAGCAGTAGAAACAGATGGAAATTCAAATTCACATAAGGAATGGGAATCAAAAATTGAGAAAAAAAACTAAGTTAGATTTTACTATAGAATTGCTTGGAATTTCATCAGTCAAACTAAAAAGTCTTTCAAAACACAGAAAATTGCCTGCAGCAAAACAAAAGTTTGAGAGCACCATTGACAGAGTTGCAAAAATGGTCTCATTAACATATAATATTAGAGAAACTTCTTTAACAACAGAAATAAAAAACCCTATTTCAAACAACAACATTAACAATGACCATGATCTAGATATTTTAATGTATGAAAAAAAATGCATGTATGAAAAAAATGTATGTATGAGAAATGTATGTATAAAATGTATGAAAAAAGATTATGTGAGTGTTAAGAAAAACCAACATGTTCAACAAAGATTATTGCTACCGAATCTTAATGAATTACATGTTGCATTTATAAAAGACTACCCTAAAGTCAATTTGTTAAAGTTTTGTACTCTTAAACCTAAATGGTGTATAACAACTAATGCATCAGGTACTCATAATGTATGTGTATGCATACATCACCAAAATACAAAATTTCTCATTGATGCCATTAGGAGGAAAAAAAGTTATAAAGAATTCATTGATTGGCATTGATTGTTTGTTCGCTTGAACATGCAGAATGTATGTTGCATCGATGTAACCAATGCCCTGGTATTGAGGCATTAAAAAGTTTTTTAGTGCAGGAGTTTATGGACCATGAGCTGGAAGAAGATGTATCATTCAAGCAATGGCAGAGTACTGGTAGTACAACACTACTATTGCAATCATTGCCACTAGATAATTTTAATGATTTATCTTGTGACAGAATTGGCAACCTTAACACTTATTCATATATTTCAAAAACACAAAATAGATACTTGAAAAACTGTAAAGAAAATCTTAACAAAAACGAATGCCTAATTTTAGGAGATTTTGCTGAAAATTATCAGTATGTTGTTTAGGACGAGGTTCAAAGTTATCATTGGAGTAAAAGTTAATGTTCACTTCTTACAATTGTACTTTATTTTTTATAAAAAAAGTTCTCAAACACATCTTTTTGTTACCTTTCAGAAGATGTTGATCGTGACACAGGATTTATTTACAAGACTCAGGAAGATATAACTATATATATATCAAAGAAAATTTACCTGATGTAAAAAAATAAATACTTTAATTATACTTTTAAATATACAGAAATACTTTTCTGATGATTATGCAGCTCAATTTAAAAATCATAAAAACTTTATCAATCATTGTCATCACAGTAAAGACTTTAATTTAAATGTTGAATAGGTATTTTTTGCTACCTGTCATGGTAAATCCCCCTGTGATGGTATTGGTGGTACTGTTAAAAGAGTTGTATGTCAAGAAAGTCAAAAACAAATAACTATTAGGCAGATTTTAGATGTTAATTTAACGTACTCCTTTTGTAAAACCAAGATAAATGGAATTTGTTTTAAATTATTTTCTTAAGATGAAATCGACCAAACACGAGCACAATTAGAAAAAAGATAATTAGGTGAAAGAACAATTCCTGGCACAAGGACATATCATCATTTTATTCCGATTGCTTCAAAAACTATAAGTTATAAAAAAACAAGTATTAATACATATATTGAAATATTTGATATAATTCTAAAAAGCAAACATAATAAAGAGATTTCACTAAACATTAAAAAAATAGATTATATTGTATGCTTTTATGACGGATTTTGGTGGTTGGTTTTTAGTGGTGTTTAGTGGTGGTTTTAGTTGGTGATTTGGTGGTTAGGGATTGTTGAAGATGTAAATGAGCTTGATATAAAAGGCAGATTCATGCATCCACATGAAGTAGGTAAAAACTTTGTTTGGCCAATGAGAAATGACGAGTGTTGGGTGCTCAATTCTGAAGTTATATGCCTAATATCTACACCCACAACAATATCAAACAACAATCTGATTTAGATTTGAAGAAAATAAACAATTCGTTACAAAAAAAAAATAAATACATTTAAATTAATTTTGCTGTAATTTTATTTACCTATTTTATATTTAGAATTTGTCTTTCTTTTTTTCAAATCCTGGATGGAAGGCTGAGAAGGAATTTAGAAGGAATTTAAATAAATCCCACTGTCCACCTTATTATGTCAATGACTTATTAGTATTAATCTACTAAATAATACCATAAAGATATTGATTGTTAAACTGTTTTATTATTGTTAAAATGTTAAAAACAATTCAATACTTTTGGTTTTAAAATTTATGATTTTTAAAATCTTGAAAATATCTTTGAGTGCTTACTTTGAAATAAGAAGTAAATAAAGAAAAAAAAATTGTTTCTTAAACTAAAAAAAAAACTATGTTTTTAAATTGAATTTTAATAATTATTTATTATTATTATTATAATAAATAATTATTATAATAATATCAATTCAACTTATGAACATGATTTTTTTTTTATGCATTAAATGATATAATTTAAAACTATATCATTTAATGCATGAAAAAAAAACTAAAAAAAAAAAATTCAGAGAGATTGGGGGGGGGGGGGGAGAGTTGATCAGAGGCCCCCTAGCCCTCCCTTGGCCTATGACTATAAACGTCCTAAATTAGTCAATAAATAACACTATTTGATGTTTTTATTCAAATAAATGTTTTAAAAAACATTTCAACTGCTTTTGTTACAAAATTTAAATTTTTCTAAAAAGACACAATTTTAAAATGCTAATTTTGATCAAGTATTAGAGAGACAATTGATGAATTTAATTTTTTTCAGTAGATCTAAGATAAAATAATGATATAAAATTAAACTTTTTATTTAGGATTTTGAGTTTTAACAATAAATAAGCAATAACTATAACACTACATTTTACAACATCATTTTACAACATTTCATAAACAAGCGATAACTATAACATTTAATAAACAATGTTATGTTTCTTTTATATAGAATAAAATAATTTATTACATAGCATACTTATTGCATAACAAAGTCAATTCTTTCAAAATTTTAATTAATTCATTCAAAAGTTAATAACTTTTTTTTTGTTCTTCTCTTACTTTTCAAATTAAGTTTTTTGGTGTGATTATTTTTTTAAAACATAATGTTATTATGTTTTAAAAACCTTTATTTATTTTATTATTTAAATATTTTCAATGCAACTTTACTGTTATTTGAATTAAAAAAGTTTAAAGCTCATATCGGATTGTAAATTATAGCTATTAAAACATAAATGGAGGAGAAACTCATATAAGAGAATTTTAAAAATTGTTTTTATATTAAAATGTAAAATACTAAGCGTTTCATATTTTAATCCAATCAAAACGTACATTTTACATTTTATTCGTATTGTCATGATTAATTGTGATTGACTTAAAATACATTTATAATGTGTTTTAAAAGTTGTTTTTCAAATGTTGATTTTTCTAAGTGACATAACATAACAAAATTTATCATTATAATTATCATAACAAATTTTATCACAAAACAGCAAAACAATAAGTATTTTATTTTAATTTTCTAGGTGCTAATATAAAATTGTTTTAAATTGAGTTTGGAGCAGATATTTGGGGGCCGTTGTATATATATACATATATATATATATATATATATATATATATATATATATATATATATATATATATATATATATATATATATATATTATATATATATATATATATATATATATGTATATATATACAAGGGCTATTCTAGACTGTTTTCAACAGTGTCAACTGTATTTGGGCAACAATTTGGGCGCCAACCAAATTAAAATTTGAGGACCATTTTTTTTATGTTTTTCACGACAAATATCGTGTTATTTTTATAAAAAAAATTCTGATTCTCCGCTAAATTTCTTTTGGGACAGGGGGAAACTGCTGCCTAAATTCTTTTCCTAGAATAGCCCCAGATATATATATATATATATATATATATATATATATATATATATATATA